TTTTGGTAGTGGTGAGAGAGAGGGAGAGAGAGAGAGAGAGAGAGAGAGAGAGAGAGAGAGAGAGAGAGAGAATCGTTCGGTGATGGTGATTCGATTAAATTGACATTGGCGTTGCGTCGAGAGTATGCGAGAAGTAAATGGAATGAACGAAGAGATATGGCGATATGCATATCGGTAAGAAAGGGTTCTGAGAAGGGTTGCGGTTCGAAGACTATATATTGTGAGGGTGGTTGTTGGTTTTGTAGGCGGGGTTGGCGAGGGGCGGGGGCGGGGGGTAGTCAGGGTAGTTGGTTGTATAATTATTATGCCACTCTAGTGTACTACGAGAGGTTCGGAAGGAATGTTCCCAGGACCGTTTTTATTTGATTCATTTTTTCCCCCGTTTTTTTTCGGTCGGTTTTCATTTTTTTTTCTTTTTTTTTTTAGTGTGCAGGGCCTGGCGTTCCTACCTTGAACAGTTGTACGCCTATGACGGCGAACACGAACTGCAGGAGGCTGGTGACGAGGACTATGTTTCCGATAGTCTTAACCGCTACGATGACGCACTGTACTACGTGCTGGGTTCAACATTAATTATAATGTAGATCCGTTCCATTTGAAACGGGGTTACGGGGGTGCCAATCTTAATTTACTCGGCCGCCTCTCGTTTCTCTGCCTATGTCGTTTCTTTTTTTTTTTCTTTTCTTCGCACGCCGGTCATTTCTTTTACCGAGATCGATTCGGGACCGTTCCACCAACGTTACACGATCACACTTTGTACACTCGAAGCGACTAATTTTCATGGAACCCCGTAGGGTCACGGTTACAAAGCGATTTTTAATTCTGCGATGTCGTTTCACTCTTTTTTGTGATTCGAAGATCGAACGTTCGGCGGTGAATTCTTTTGAAAAATTCTGCCATGGACAACGATGCGATGTTTAACCGCATTTAGAACATTAATTACAGAAAATAAAATCATTAATTTCAGAAAACGCATTTTTAGAGGATAGACGAGATAATTCGGTGTGGTAATTTAAAAATAAGGATCGAACGTTCGGTGGTGAATTCTTTTGAAAAAATTCTGCCATGGACAACGATGAGATGTTTAACCGCATTTAGAACATTAATTGTAGAAAATAAAATCATTAATCTCAGAAAACGCATTTTTAGAGAATAGATAATTCGGTGTAGTAATTTAAACATTCATTCTCTCTCTTGCTACATTGAACTTAAGCGAGTAAGAACTTTGTTATAAATTCAGAAAAAAGAACAAAAGAATTTTTAAGAAAGTCAATCTATGCGATACGCGTTGACTTTTCAGTCTCGATTTTGGTAAACAAATGACAGCGATCTTGATGAATTCTTTAGAATTTTTAGTACTTGAATCCACTGAATCGAGGTCCACGACGTTTCACAAAAATTGGCGATTACGTGTGCACAGAGTATAATCGTTCCGCGTGGAACGGTCCTGGTTTTACTTCGTCTACTCCGATATATTCCGACAGGCATCGCGTATCCGCGTCGCGCAGCAAATCTCCCGGAGACGAGATACTAAGCTTCCAAGCTTTTCTACGGTGACAGCAACAATCGAGAGCGACAATTACCGGGGATCTCTCCGCGAGATATTTCCTGCTCGACGCGAGGCTTCAAGATTAATTATACTACTGCTAGGTCCGGTTTCGAAGTGCGGGATCGATTACCGCCCCCGATTCTCAGAAGCGATCGCGAGCAGTCTACAAACAAGTGAGGTCTCGCGGCGGACCCGATCTACATATACAGGGTGTCCATCGACGACATTCCTAGAAAATGTAGGAGACGACGAGTCTCTGGAACGGTACGAGACGGAAATCTTGAATATAAAAAATCACGAACTTGGGCCACAGCGTCTGCCGAGAGGAGCGTTATGGTCGATCTTCGGATCCTTGATTTTTGTTTCGTATCGTTTCGGGGGATCGCTTCTTAAATTTTCTTTCGATCGTTGATGGACCACCCGGATGCTGCGCCGGAATCAACTAGAATTTACGTCGGTCCGAAGCGTTACCCGCGCGTTTAGGTACCGGGCAAGTTCTGTTGTACCATTCTGGGACCGTTCTCGGCGAAGTTTACCGGCCGTTCTAAAGGGTAAGACGCTAAGAAAAATACCTTTAGTCCCTTGGCACGGTTGATGGCGCGCAGCGGCCTCAGCACGCGCAACACTCGGAGGACCTTCACCACGGAGAACGCGCCGGAACTGGAATAATTAAGACGCGATCAGTGTTTCGTCCAATAACAAATCAAGCATACTTAAGTATTAGCGTGAACTTTTTCACTAGAGTCTCAAAGATCACCGTTTTTACGATAATCTAATACTACACAAAAGGAAAGGAAAATTATGGTCGAATAATCGCCGATCTTTTCACTCCCGTAACGTCGGCTAAAAAAGGGTCTTATTATTTTATATGCAGGAGGCATGAAAGTAGAGACTCGGCTCTTTAAAACGAGTGCATCGAGAACCTTGTAAGATCTTTTTTGCACGAAGTTATCGGAATTTAAAATTGGACAGTGTTCCTTTGATTTTGTGGATTCCTTAATATCATTATAATATATATATATATATCAATATAATATTAATATCATTATAATTTTATATATATATTTATTATATATATATATTATATTTTATATATATCATTATAATATTAATATCATTATAATTTTCAATTATATATATAACGTTTTGGGATTCGAGAAAGAGTCTGGAGCGGAGGGCTCACCTGAAAGACATCGAAATCAGAGAAGAGCAGACGACCAACAGGTCGAGCAGATTAAACGCCGATCGGCAGAACGCGCCGTCGTGTATGATAAAACCGTAGGAGATCATCTTCAGCCAGATCTCGATCGTAAACACTGTGGTGAAAAAATAGTCGAAATTCTGTAATATCTGCGGCAGAAAGAGAGGAGATCGTGGATTAGTTCGGCGCGTAGAGCTATGGTCGAGTGTCCTCGATGGCGGCCATAACTACCTGATTCCTATACGACGTTGCGCTCAGAGGGTCCTCGGCAGCCAACATGGCCGACGATATCATGATGCACACGAGGATCACGTTGCCGAAGTAACTGTGATTGCATAGCCAGTGGCAGAACACTCGGAACCTGAAAATTGTCGGTGACGATTAGCATCTCGACGTTGTCGGATATTAAAGCATAAAATATAATAATATTGTAAATATCTCTGAATAATGTAACAATTTATCTCAGCACGTGTTTCCAGTTTTATCTCATTTATTTCGTCCGATCTACACGTTCCACATGTTTCGTCTTGCCCGGCAGAGGTCTCATCTTTCGTACTTTCATTCCGAGCACAAAGCGGTTTGCAGACTTTCTCTTGACACAACATTTCACTCTCATTTTTATTGGTACAGTAATGTCTCCCCAATTGTCACCTAAAATGTGCAAAAAAAATTGACAATTCGGGAAGAGGAGATACGATTATTCGTGCTTTGCGGCTCGTTTTTATATTTGTTGACGATCGGTTTTCGTATCCGATCGCGCGCTTTCCCGCCCATTTCCCCCGTTCGGTGGCTTCCTAAAATTTCGAAAAAAATGTGGCTTATTTTGGACATCGAGCCGCGTATTATAGAATTTTTTCAGATTTTTCGGTTGCAAGCTGTAGTTATAAAAAATGGAAAATCAAAAAGAAAATCGGAAATTGAAGATTTCTCGAAAACAAAAATATAGGTTCTTTTTATACTAATTCCTCGATAAGATGACGTCGCAAGCAGTGCGCTGAATTTTTCTCAGATTTTTCGTCCGGTTGCGTCATTGTCGGAAAAAATGAAAACCGAAGGACCTAGCCGATCAAAACGGTCGAAATTGTCCTTAGAGGTTTTTTCATGAGTATTATATCGTTCGATAGCTGACCAAGAGAACGTAGTCCGTGCAAAATTTCAACCCTGTAACATGTCCGTGAGAGTAGTTACAGGGTTAAATAGCTCGAATAATCGTATCTCCTTTTCCCAAATTGTCCATTTTTGTGGACTAACTGAGCGTCAGTTAGAGAGACATTACTGTAGAACACGCTGCCGACGTGAAAATACGGGACACTCTCTGTATTATTGTCATTCGATTTTCCCAAGGAGGATTGATTTAAGATCGGGCAACACCTGTTGTTCTGCGAGAAGATGAAGAAAGCGGAGCCAGGTGGTATCGGCTGCATTTTCGTGGCCATGTTGAACTCGGACATCCTGCGCGGCCTCGCTGACACTCCTTGATCCGTGCCGTCGTCTGCGGACGAAAATATTTCTGTTAAAAAGCAGGACACCGGTCGGAGGGGAAACTACTTTCCCGGGAAGTTTCAATCGACTTGGGAGACAAGAAAAATACCCTGCATTTCGTTCGGCTCGACCTCCTCCTCCTCCTCGACCTCCTCGTCGGACTCGATGTTCAGCCGCACTTTCGCGTGAGTGTTCATGTCCTCGCTTTTCTCCGACCTGCGGGTTCGGAAATAAACTTTCGATGAACAAGTTTTGCATCACGCCTGGAACACCGGCACTTGCCGGGCCTCGCCGTTATCGATAGAAACTTATCCCGAAAATATTCGCTCGTTCGTTTCGTAAATTTTCTCGTTCATTTTTCGGGATTTCCTGAATTTTGAATCGTAATTCAGTGACTGCGGAGGCAATGTCTTAGTGACTCTTTTTCTTTTTTCTTTTTGTGAATGCTTTTCGATTTGGGATTGTTTAATACTGAATTAATAAATTATTTAGGAAACTCGTCGCTATCCTTTAGTTTTCAGGAAATAGTTCCTAAGAAATGTAAATTCTCGAGAATTCAGAAATAATATTTGGTTAACAATTTTTGGCTTTAACGTATTACCTTTCCATCGATAGTTTTCTTCGATAATATTCATTCTTTTAAAGTTTCACTATAATCAATTTTTTACCCTTATACAAAATTAACCACGATCTAAGTTTCTATGAAAAATCTACAATTATTTAACATTTTTACTCAAATTTCTATTAAAATTTATTACAATCTTTTCAATTAGAAAACTATTGTAATTCAGATTTATAATAAAAGTTCGTTATAATTAGATTATTGAACAGACATTTTTACGATTTAAACCTTTTTGCGAACGGGTTTCGAATCATAATTCAGTAACTGTGGGGGCAATGTCTTAGTGTCTCCTTTTTTTTTATTTTTGTAAATGCTTTTCGATTTGGGATTGTTTAATACTAAATAAATAAATTATTTAGAAAACTCTTCGCTATCCTTCGACTATACAGGGTGTCCCAAAAATGTCTCGCAATCCGAAAGTAGGGGATTCTTGAGGTTATTTGAAGCAACTTTTTCCTTAGCAAAAATGCAATCTGCGGCTTCGTTTACGAGTTATTAACGAGAAACAGTGACCAATCAGAGGCGAGATCATTTGGCGCGAGATGGCCGAGCCAATGAGCGGAACCGGGCTCCGTGCACTCGTTGGCTGGGCCGCCGCGCGCCAGCCGAACTCGCCTCTTATTGGTCAGTGTTTTTCGTTAATAATTCGTAAACGAAGCCTCGGAGAAAATTTTCGCAAAGGAAAAAGTTGCTTCAAATGACCTCAGGAACCTCCCATTTCCGGATTGCGAGACATTTTCGGGACATCCTGTATATAGATCTTTCCAGCAACTTTAGTTTTCAGAAAATAGTTCGTGCGAAAAGTAAATTCTTGAGAATTCAGAAATAATATTTGGTTAACAATTTTTGGCTTTAATGTATTTCTCTTTTATCGGTAATTTCCTTCGACAATATTTATTCTTTTAAAATTCCACTATAATCAATTTTACCCTTATATAAAATAGCTATTTGAATTCGAAATCCAGAACACGATTTCTGATCTACAGTATTTTACACAGGGTGTCCCAAAATTATGGTACTTCTGGGAACTGAGGGGTTCCTGAGATCATTTGAAGTAACTTTTTCCTTTGCGAAATTGCAAACCGCCGCTTCATTTACGAGTTATTAACGAAAAACAGTGACAAATGAGAGATCGCGTATGGCTGACGCCCCGCCCTCGCGCGACCACTGCTGCTGCGTCAGACGACAGGTGCGTCACGGCATTGGCCGCAAGGGCGGAGCGTCGGCCGCACACGCTCTCCGATTGGTCAGAGTTTTTCGCTAATAACTCGTAAACGAAGCTTCGTAGAACATTTTCGCTAAGGAAAAAATTGCTACAAATGACCTCAAGAATCATTTCCCGGAAGTACCATCATTTTTGGACACCCTGTATACAGAATGTGGCACATGACAATCGCCATGACTTTTGAAGCGCTTTCGACTGTCTGACAAAAAATTGTTTCCAATGATAGTTAATCAGTATTTAGGTAGCTACGTATTGAAATATAAGAAACTTTAAAAAACTATAGTTTTTCTGCTAAAAGTCAAGGTCATCTTGACTTTTTCAAATAGCATCTTGTATATTTGACTTCGTAGAGTCATTGGTGACGAATAAATGAATTCAACGATCTGTTATACTATGACTTTCGGATGACCTTGACTTCAGCAATTTAAGTTCGAACAACGGAGATTGTTGATTATAAAATTTTCTTGGAAATTATGTTCCCTGAACCAATGGAAATTATCACTACACTGAAAATAACAATTTTAACGATTGATCGCATCATTATTTGAAAACTTCTATCGGTTAAACAATCTAATGTTAAGGTTATGTTGACATTTTTGCAACTGATCAGAATTTACTTGCACAACTGCAATTGTGGTTGAAAGAAAATGTACTACACTTCGAGCACTCATTGTATATTGATTGAAATAAAATAACTTTCGATATTAACGCTTTTGTTTTTCAACCCTAAATTGCTGATAAGAGGCGGGCTCGGCTGGCGCGCGGCGGCCGAGCCAACGAGCGCACGGAGCTCGGTTCCGCTCATTGGCCCGATGGCCTAGCGTCGAGCGAACTCGCCCCTATTTGGTCAGTGTTTTTCATGAATAATTCATTAACGATGCCTCGGAGACAGTTTTTGTAAAGGAAAAGGTTGCTTCAAATCACTCCAGGAATCCCTCATTTCTCGGAAATACCATAATTTTGGGACACCCTGTATAAGTATGATAAAATCATATAAGTACAATAAATTTTATATAAATACAGTATTTTACATATTTTATTGTGATTTATGCATATGAAATTGAGCCCATCGGCAAGCACAGTGCAATTTTAAGTCTTTTAAAAATATAAACGCGTCTGATGCTCTAAGAATGATTTTGAGAAATAGTATACCAATTTTTGGTGGCGCCCCAGAGTCGCCACTCGAGCGCAAAGGGTTAAAAATCAACAATTATCTAAAATTTTCATCCAAACGTCCATCAAAATCTACAATACTCTCCATTAAAATTCTTTTAAAATCCGATCCCATCCCAAGGGATGAAACGATGACTAAAATCTTCGTTCCTAATCGCCTAATCGTCCTTCACTAAAAAAAAAAAAAAGAAAATATAAAAGATTTGCAATGATTCGGCTCACGTTTCTGTGTCCAGGGCAGCCTCGTAGTCCTCCATGGTCTCATTGGGGTCCTGTTCGAGGTCAGTCCCGCCGCCTTCGTCCTCGCCACCGGTTCCTTCGCCATCGTCGCCTTGATCCTCGCTGCTTTCGTCTCTGGCCGGCGAGGCGCTGTGCGACTTGTTCTTCTCGGCCTGCAAGCATGCGTTTCGGTTCGGCTCGATCGAAGTGCGGAAACAATGCTGGGACCTGGATCGGATCGGATCGAATCGCGATTCTCGGCCCGACTCTCTATTGGCCCGTTGGCTTGGCCTCTCCTATTTATTGGTTTCAACCTAACCTAGCATTATTTTGCATTCTAGTCCCATTCGCAATGACGACTCCTTTTACTTCCAAAAAACAGTGAAAGTCAACAGAACGACTTCAACTTTGAATTCGATTAAACTCCACCAAAACTCCAGCAATTCGAGATAGCTTCGCCGATAATCGGCGCGTCTGAAATTCCGCGTAACAGAATTCTCTAAAAGTAGAGATTCTCCACTACCGAATGATCGTTTGACAACATCGATACGATCATCTCCGCCGCATTTACGACCATTTGAATGTGGCCTGATTCCTAGAAGCGCCACTCAAGCCTCCGACACTGGACGGCCCTGACAGTTTAATGGCAGCGAGAATCCGCTTAGATCGCGTTGTGTCACAATGTATCTGCGAGTGTCGGAACCGATAGAACCGGCCTAACATATCCAGTCACTGCGACATCTCCTTAACCTCTTAGGCACGGCTGTACGCAATTACAGCACCGCGATGCGCGACACTGACGTAACAAAAACAAAGACTATATATTCTATCTGTATATTATTAAATACTGTTGTAGATATTACCTAATACCGTTGTAAAACGTTGCGAGGGCAAAAAGGTGGTGAAGCAAGACAAACGAAAACGATCGTTTAGTTCGGACGGCGAGCGAACGAGTCGGTAGAGGGAGCCACTGTAGCGCCGCGTCGCAAATAATACGACGTCCGCGAAAGCCAGTTTAGTGGCGCATCGTACCTAAGAGGTTAAAAGCTTGCCGGTGTCCCGTCGAATTCGGAATTCGAATTCGAATTCCTCGGAGCCTCGGTGGCTCACGGTACAGTAATTTCTCTCTAATCGACGCTCGGATTGTGTGCACGAAAATGCACAATTTCGGAAGAGGATTATTCGAACCTCGCGGGGCTCGTTTTTATAGTTGTTGGCAATTCGCAACTGTCGTCCAGTTTCGTGGAGACAGTCCGAGAGTCAGTTAGACAGATATTACCGTACCTTGAAGCACGGAGCCGCGCGCGGGTTAACGCTCGAGAGCTAATGATTTTCCATTAGCTTGTCGATGAATCACGAACGATTAAACTTTTAGCGTTAACGCTACGCGGCAACCTGGCCGACGTGTCGTCGGGTCGGCGTCTATTGTTCGTCGCGAGGAGACCTCTTTTCTCCGCCCTTGTTGCGAGCTTCACGCTCCGGCTCTCCCACGCGTATTTATAGTCCCGTTCGTTACGAAACATTACGAAAAGAAAGAACGATGCGAATATATATTATATATATTCGCATCGTTCTTTCTTTTCGCAATATATATATATTCCCATCGTTGTTTCTTTTATATATATATATATATTCTAACATATTCTCTAATATATGTGTATATATATGTATGTATGTATGAATGTACGTACATATATGTATGTTTATGGCGGGCATATCGGTATCCGATTCCGATGGCCCCGATTTTGCGTGCGCGAGAGGGCCGCTGCCTTTTGTAGTTTTCTACAGTTTTTTCGAGCGTCCGGCCGCGGCATCAATTAAACCAGATGACACAGTTTTTAACCGATACTCGGCCGATAGAACTCAACCGCGAGATAATTCTGAAACGTGTCCCGCTGCCAACTATGCCACTGTCGCCGCCGCCGCGGCAACCGTCTTCGTCGTTCACACGCTTTCGGACATTTTTCTTCCGTATTTTCGTCCCGATTCGATCGCGCGAGCTCTCGCGCTGTCGCCCTTTGTCTCGCCGCTTTAATACACCTTCTTTCTCTTTGTCTTTCAGGACCGGGGATCTTGTATTTGCGCGCGGAGAAGCCTCTGGTTCCGTACTGTACATATACATAGCTCGACCGGTTTCCCTTTTAAGCACTGTCTCCCGTGCTGGAAAAGCCATAACCGCGACGAAGGATTTTCCAGTAAGGACGATACATTTTTTAACCGTGCTCGTTTATAAGTGCGTGAGATTATTTTCCTTTTTCTTGTTAGATTTTTACATATTTATAATAATATATAATAATAATAATATATATAATAATATAATAATAATATTATATATATATATATAATAATATAATAATATAATAATAATATTATATATATATATAATAATATATAATATAATATATTATATATATTTATATTTATTATATATTTGTTCGACGTCGTTTAACTTTTCGCTTTTGTCATTTAAGGTCGTTCAACTTTTCTGTCGTTTAAACGTGAAGAAATGCGCACTGGAACAACGTTTAAGAAATTAGTCGAATTTATTATTGAAGATAGTGGATTCAGCGAATGGATTATATTTTAAGAAATGCCGTTGTCCGTTCGTCGTTCATGCGATTTAACGCGCTTACAACCTTTTTTCCCTGGGGCTGCGTTAAATTTTTGGTTTATCCCAACAAATATTTGATTTATTCCACATTTATTGGGCGACTATTTGGGCGACTCGAGAAGCAACATCGAAGCCACCATTTGAGATACTCGAGCTGATTTTAGCGAGAAAGTCGTGTAAAACGTAGCCATTCGAACGACATTGCGTTCCATCTTAAATGCCATTGAATATACTTGAATACACCAGAAGCAATAGCAACGAATTAACTTGGAAAGAAGAAACGAGATCGCTTGACTTGAAATGCTAGGACATAAATATGAAAGTCTCGGTAACTTTAAGTTGGACATAGATTGAATAAATACGCGACGCGTAATTAATATTTTAATTCATTTTCTTGGAAGGTACAGTGGACAAAGAAAACGATGCTTGGAAAAAAGTATTTGGCGAATCGAGATCCTCGAAGAAAGTATTTGGCCAATCAAGTTTGCATGGAAACGAGCAATAATTTGCTTTATATTCGCAGCAACCAATATCGTAGGACGTTTTTACGCGTATACGCGACTGTTTTAACGAGCGTTGGTGCTGATTTTATGAAATGTTCCATTTTAATAACGAAATTGACTGCTTCGACATTCTTATTCTCATCTTCTGCTTTTATTGTAGTTTATTCATTTCTCTACAATATTCGCAAAGGACGAGGGAAATTGACCAATTTTAACCTCGACTATGGAAATGAAAGATTTGTCCGGGATATGTTACCGCATGTCCCGAAGAGTCCAAAATGCGTAATTATTTACACCGGGGATGAAGAAGAAGTTGTCAAAAAATAAGCGTAAACATCAGAGTTTCGTCATTCGCAAGCCACCGATTAATACTTTTTCGATACTTTTTTCCAGAATCTCGTTGGCCAAACGCTCTTTTCTTTGTTTACTATATCTTTCAAGAAAATAAAGTAAAATGTTAATTATGTATATTTATTCAATATACAGGGTGACCACGCAACTTGTCCACCTCTTATAACTTCCAAAATATGCGTCGCACGAAAAAATTTTATACACAAAAGATGCATGGTTTGAAGGGGCACGTTATGTAGCGCATTTATTTTTTTTATAGGTGCAGGCGTTTCGGAGATTTCAAGGTCAACTTTGTTTTTTTCGTGAAAATCGTGAAAATAATTAATGTTACGTAAGACGAGATAAGACAAATGAATATTTATTGCCGTCGAAAGTATTCATTGAAAAATATCGAAGGTACGTTTATAATGCTGATGAAAAGCAATTCGTTCGTATCAAATTATCACAACAATTATATTTTACACNATCCGTGAATGTTAGCAACTGGACAAATTGAATGCAGCGGTCAAGGAAAAGCGACCAGAACTGGTCAATCGTAAAGGTGTCATTTTCCACCAGGACAATGCTAATTATAGCAGTCATTATAGCAGTCATTTTCCACCAGGACAATATTAATTAACGTAACGTAAGACGAGACAAGACAAATGAATATTTATTGCCGTCGAAAGTATTCATTGAAAAATATCGAAGGTACGTTTATAATGCTGATGAAAAGCAATTCGTTCGTATCAAATTATCACAACAATTATATTTTACACTATAATTCAAATACGACTAAAATAAAAATATTTTATTTGATGATAATATAAATTAAATAAAAACATTCCAAACTATGGCACAAATATTTTCACTGTTTTCCAAATAAAACGCTATTCTAAAATATTATCTTAAAAATTAGAAAATTAAAATATTGTTAAGATACAGTTATATTGTTAAGATAAGTCTGTATATTGTAAATCGATGTGACGACAAAAGAAGTGTGAAACAATGTATATGAAGACGATTATTTGATTCAAATGATGACCGAGTGAGCTACTAAAGTAAGCCACTATAGTGGCGCGTCGTGCCTAAAAGGTTAATTACCGCTTCTAGTAAGATTCCTTATCGCCAAGAAAAAACCTTATACAAATAACGAGCGATAGCGTAACACGTGGACGAATATCGCCGACAAAACGTGTGCCGAACAGTAGCGCGGATAACTCGCAAAAGCCGTGAAACATTCGTTAACGAGATAAACGTATCTCGCTGGAAGAATCGACACGCGCGCACGCGCGTGCAATTTTGAGAATGTCCAATATTTGCGAGCCTCCGGAACTCCGCGCGGCTCGTCCTTGAGTCATCATCGTCGCCGGTGCGCAAGGATTTCGAGAAGTCCATTCCAGGACGCTGCAACGGCCCGCTTTATTAAAACGGAGCCACGAAGGCGGTCCCGCCGCGTGCCTTGTTTATTAAAGATCCGCACGCTAAACGACCTCGTCGTCGAGTATGTCGCTCTTTAACCTTTTAGGTACGGCTGAATTCTGCGCGATGCTATTTCTCTGGACGGCAGAGTCTGATACTGTATATTCTGTCTGTATATACAGGGTGCCCAAGAATGTCTCGCAATCCGAAAGTGGCGGGTTCCTCGGGCCATTTGAAGCAACTTTTTCCTTTACAAAAATTTTCTCCGAGGCACCGTTAACGAGTTATTAACGAAAAACCGTGACCAATGAGAGGCGAGCTCGGCTGGCGCGAGGCGACCGAGCCAATGAGCGGAACTGGCCTTCGCGCGCCGGTTGGCTGGGCCGCCTCGCGTCAGCCGTACTCGATTCTTATTGGTCACTGTTTTTCGTTAATAACTCGTTAACGGTGCCTCGGAGAACATTTTTGTAAAGGAAGAAGTTGCTTCAAATGACCCGAGGAACCAGCCATTTCCGGATTTCGAGACATTTTTGGGACACCCTGTAGACTGTTGTAAATCGATGTGAAGACAAAAGAAGTGTGAAACGATGCATATGAAGACGATTGTTTGGTTCAAACGATGAGCGAGTGAGCTACTAGAGCAAGCCACTATAGCGGCGCGTCGTCCAGAGAGATGACATCCGCGGAAGCCACTATAGTGGCGCGTCGTGTCTAAAAGGTTAAAGGCGACCACCGACGTTCTCCGACGTTTCGAAATTTCTGAAAGTTCGACGCGAAACGCGTTCAAACATTTTGCCTACCGGAGTCTGCCGGAAACTAAAACAATGGCCGCCGAAACGAATGATTCCCGCAGCCAAGAGCCTGCGAAATAAGGCCGTTCGAACAGGCACACCGAAATATCTCCGTTTTGTTTACGTTGCGCCGCGCGACGACATTATAACTCGCGACACAAAGTTGTTGCGCCGCTGGAAAGGGAAGGGTTCCTTTTTTTTTTAAGGTCAGTTCTTCTGTTTTTTTTCACCAGATTTAAGGTCAACGAGCCCGACACAGACACTCGGGAAACGTTCGCTCCGGACAAAGGGATGTGAACTGACAGATCATCGAACACGGAGGGGGTTGAACGTGTCGTCGCAACCACCTCCTGCCGCAGGCTTCGATTTCAATTTTAAATGCCGCGGAAACCTTTAAACTCCGACTGTTTTGTAACATTTGCTTTGTGTCCGAACCGTGGAATTTATCGATTCGCGGATTCATCGGACGCCCTGTCCAGTTTGATTTTTCTGGATGCTGGTTCAAGTAATCAGCTATTTTTAACCCTTTGCACTCCGCTGTCCCCTCTCGTGGGACATCGTAATTCTAGCGTATCACTCGGATGTTCCCCCTCTCGTGGGACATTAAAGTTTATTAGTGATTACGGGGACAATTCCCCAATTTTGCGCTGAAATAACTCAATAGTTATTTCAGCGCAAATTTTTCAGACATGCATGTTTCTCTGAAGTTTTCTCTTGAAATGGCACAAGAAATCGAATCAAAATATAGTAAAATTACTAAGATATGTACAAGAAATGTCAGCAGGTTTTGACGAGAACGTGAGAAACATGCTCACGATGGTCCGAGCACTTCGAAGGCGCCACTTGAAAAGAGCGGTAAGGCAAGTTTGTAGAAGAAAGATCGGTATGCGAACATAGCACGTACTGTATAGTGAGATTTATAATCATAAAATCTGGAGAAAAAGATTTTCAAAGCTGAACTCGGTCTGGTTCGAAGCGTCGAGCGGTATAGATAGATCTAACGAGTGAGAAAATCGGAAAAGTGATTCTTCTCTTGGTAAATAAATTGTTTGGTAAAAGTTTTTTTTTGTTAATATCATCTTGCGAGTTAGTAATAACAATTAGAAATTTTCAACCAATGTATTTGTTCATATTTTTTATTAGAACAATGGCAAAACGTTCGAACACGAATGAGTCTCGTGACACAAGTAGTAGCGAAGACGAGCTCCAGATAGACGTTTATACAGATATGTTAGAAAGACTAACTGTAGAAGGTTTTCTTTTACAGTTAGTCTATCGTTTCAATAGCAGCGACAGTGATATCGTCCAAGCAACAAGGCGACGTTTTTTGACAAAACAAAATTATAAAACAAACAATAACAAAATTATAAAAAATAAAATATTGATTTTTTTGCAAATTTCTCGATTTCAGCCAATTCATGTAAGTCCAATATCATTATAATATGTTAGTTAGTTCCAAAACAATACTAAATAATACGAGGGTCTGTAAATGCCCGTTTCTGCCGAATAGTGGCGCTGAACAGCTGGTAGCCAACGTCCAGAATGGTTCGGAGTGCTAAGGGTTAATAGGTTATGGCTGTTTCAGAGAGTATCGCCTTACGAGTATCACGGTGTGAAGCATAACGCTGTCCGACAAAATCAAACTTTTTTTCTGGGTTCCTATAGACACTGCGAAATTCTTGTAGAGCTTCGCTCCCTGAACAAGAATCCGAAAACCGAATTGCTCCATCACCCTCAGTTTTTTTACATGAACGAACTTTTGTAAAACCCAAAATTTTCGACAAAAATGAGGAAATGACGGGTTCCTCGGATCATTTGAAGCAACTTTTTCCTTTCCAAAAATGTTCTCCGAGGCACCATTAACGAGTTATTAACGAAAAACAGTGACCAATAAGAATCGAGTACGACTGACGCGAGGCGGCCCGGCCAACCGGCGCGCGAAGCCCAGTTCCGCTCATCGGCTCGGTCGCCTCGCGCCAGCCGAGCTCGCCTCTCATTGGTCACTGTTTTTCGTTAATAACTCGTTAACGGTGCCTCGGAAAAAATTTTTGTAAAGGAAGAAGTTGCTTCGAATGACCCGAGGAACCCGCCACTTTCGGACTGCGAGACATTTTTGGGACACTCTGTATAAGAGTAAATAAGAATTCAAACTTAGCATTGTACGCAAGAAACTGATGTATCATCCAAATATAACGAATAATAACGCGTACGTTCTCGTTCAAATAATCGAGGTTCTACCGCGTATTCCGAATTCCGCGTACGCCGAAACGCGTTTGGTTCTCGCTGGACGAATAAGTTGCTGTACGACAGGTTCGAGCCGGTCGTCCCAGATTGCTGGTAATTGCGAGAGGAATATTCGTAAGAATGAAAAACCCGTGGCAGCGGTAACGAGCGATAAAAAGCCGGTCGAACAGCGTTGGCGTCGGCATCGGCGTCGGCGTCAGCGTCAGCGTCGACGTCGACGTCGCCGTCGATGTAGGGTGTCGGTGTCGGTGTCGGTGTCGATGTCGGGCGTCAGCGTCGGCGACGGTGATTACGGCCGACGGCAAATGAGCCCCCTCATCCGACGACGCTCTTTGTGGGAACGATAAACCGACCTGCATTCTAATTTTCCCCCGGCGGCTAAGTAAACGCAATGCGGCCGAATGTTTATTGAAGCCGAGAAGTCGCGTGCGTCCCGTTACGTTCTTATCGTGGCAATCGGTCAATCGAGGCTTCCCCCTCCTCGTTCGATCATCGGGTTTCCGTCGTCGATAAGGACGATCGACTAATGCGAAAGCCGCCGGCGGTGGCGGCTCGAGAAATTCAGTGACATTCTGTTATAACTTTTGAACCATCAAAGATATTGCAATGAAATTTTCATCGAAAATATTTAAAAAATAATTATTTTTAGCTATAGATAATTAAATTTTTCTTTGCATTTGTTCAACAATAATTTTTAATTAATTTTCATTGACATTTTTTGTGAAAAAAAAGATTGTTTAAATATAATGTTACAAACTATTTGTAACATTGCAATAGTAACGTGCCTGGAATTACTAGCGGGTCCTCGTAACCAGTGTGGGTGCAATAAAGTACGCGTCCCAGAAAAAGGTCTCTGTATGCATTAAATCCTGAAGTTGCAGATTTATTGAAATGATAACAAAATGGTAAGATCAATTAACGTACTCTACATTTTATCAAAAGTTCGAACTGTTGAAATTTACCAACTACATAAAATGCATACAGAGAACTTTTTCTGGGACGTGTACTTTATTGCACCCACACTGGTTACGAGGACCCGCTAGTAATTCCAGGTACGTTAGTATTGTAATGTTACAAAGTTTGTTTCGTTTACTTATATTTTTCATGTTATATGGAATAATTAAAAATGTTAAATATCTGCCGATTTTTTTTTCACAGACGAAGAAGCGTTCTGTAATATCGACTGGAACACAGAGAGATTATCTTCGATATCTGTAACCTCGAAGTAACGCAACGTTGGTATCTTTAACCCTTTGCACTCGAGTGGTGACTCTGAGGCACCACTAAAATTGTTAGGTCGCGTTGCAAAATAATTTTTATATTAACAGAGTTTAAATTTTAAAAATTGTTGAAAGTGTAACTGTCAACACGAGTCATCGCAAGACTCAATTTCATATGCATAAAATGCACTTTGTCATATAAAATGGAAATACCATAAGTCAGAAAAATTGTTTTAGATTTACGGTTAAAATGGCTTCGAGTGCAAAGGGTTAAAACGTAATAATTTGCGATTTGGTTCGTTCTGGTTTGTAACTTTTACAGAATTATGTAGAGGAAAGTATCCTGACAATATACCGTTCGTCCGAAACCGTGATTCCTCGAGTGTCAAAATAATATTCCTTGTCAAATGTAAAGAATTTGTACACTTTTTGTATTTTATTAAACATATTTTTTATATCTAGGATACAAAAATCTTAATTTAAGTTACCGTTTCCTAACGAGAAATATTGCCTCCTTAATGTTAAAAAAGAAAGCGAAGGGAAAAGTTAATTAGGTTAGGTTTTGGCGTCAAATGTAGCGTTCAAAATGTTCAACTTTAAATTGTCGTATCTATTACAACTTATGATCATTTTTATTAATATTTCCATTTTCGAGGGTAATGGACATTTAACAAGCAAAAAAAATTGACTGGACATCGATACGAGAAAATTAGGTTTTTGTCAAAAAGTCACTAAAATATTCGATCCGGCCCCACTGTGGCGGCGGCGAAGCGGCACAAGATGCTCGAATAACTCTTAAAGAAGGAACAAAAGAAACTCACCTCCTCCTCGGCCTCCTTCTCGATGGCAGTTAACGACTCGGCGTCCGCGAGATTGTCGACGGCGATAGCCAAGAAGACGTTCAGTAGAATATCTGCGTTGCTTCTTACCGTTAAGGATCATTTGCCGGGAGCACCGTCGATCACGAATCTTTAATGCCGCGTCAACTGAATCCCATTTGAATTCGCTCTTCCCGGTGACTTTCCATCGGATCACCGTTTATGCTATCGCCAGCGGGGAAGATAACAGTCTGCTATGATCGGCTCTAACACGACAGGATAGCATTCTGATGGGACACTTCGAGTTTAAGCGTTAACGATTCTCGCGGATTGTTTTGTTGACAGCGTAAAATCGAGCGGATTTCGAATCTTTACAGATTTCTACGGAATAAATAAATAAAAATAAATAAATAAAAATAAATAAACGATATTCATCTTAGAAAGCAACGACGATAGCAATGGTTTCTATGGAGGAGACAGTCTTTTTTCTTTTCTTTTTAATGTGCAAACACTGCGATCTTTCCAGCTGCGATTAGCACTGTCTACCTTTTTTTTCAGTGAGAAGGATACAGTTTCCGCATATGAAGAGGATGATGAAGTAAAAACAGGCGAGCATGCCGAAACTCGCGACGCCTCCGTACGCTCTGATCCCGTCATACATCACGGCGTTCCAATCCTCGCCGGTCAGTATCTGCGAAACACCATAAATATTGCACGTGCGAAATCAACAACTACAGAACGCGCTGTCTTCAATTTCTGTTACAATTTCTGTTACAATTTGATCATCGAAAAGGAGTCGCGCCACTAGGTTTCGCAGCAAAGAGGAACAATTTCGTAGAAATTGTATGTAAGTTACAAAAATGAACGACAAAGCGTGCTATTCTGACCGAACGAATTTGTTTGGCAAGAAAGTAATTTCGGTTTGCACCGATAGATAGCGTTATGTTCGCATCGTCATTCTTCTGCTAAAATTACAACGGCGCGTTTGCGTGGAATCCCGAAGAATCTGCATACAATTTTTCAGCCGAAACGATTGATTTTTTAACAAGGCGTCGGAACTTCTTTGAGGGTTGTCTCTCTTGTGCTGATCTCGGCTATCAAATAATCCCGGGCATTCGATTTTGCTAATAACTGCAGAATGAAAGATCGAATTGTAAAGAAGATCCGCAGCACCGTGCATAGAGACATTTATGACCGGTATGGAAAGTACCGAGTGAATTGATTGATCGGTACTGAATTTGTTGATCTCTCAGTCGCGACTAGATTCGACATCGTATAACAGAAAGTGTCTGAAGCTTCGCCACACATTTATATATATTGGTTTGACAAGAAAGTAATTTCGGTTTGCGTCAATAGATAGCGTTATGTTCGCATTGTCGTTCTTTTGTTAAGGTTATAATGTTTTTTGTTTTCAGCTTTGATAGTTGATGCGTTTAGGTTAGGTATAGAAACAAATTCCGTGTAGTTTTGTTTACAACTGATAGCGGAAAGTGACGTCGCATCTTCCATATAGCCCCGACCTTGCGCCATCGGATTATCATTTATTTCGAAGTTTACAAAACTCTTTAAACGGTAAACATTTCAATAATAACGATACAAGGACGAACAAGGACCAGAAGTTTTATGAGCGCGGAATCATGAAGTTACTGGAAAGACGGCGAAAGAGGTCATCGAACGGAATGGAAAATATTTGACTGATTCGAATGGAAATATTTGACTGAAGTTTTGGAAGTTCATTTCTTGTATAGAAAAAATGCAGTTTTCTTTCGCACTGAAATACCGAAATTACTTTCCTGCCATCACAATAGTTCAAGTACTGAAACATAATCTCGGTGCAACACCAACTTCTTGCAATTAATGCAGATAATTTTCATATTGAGATCATAAAGACCCGCAATTTAGTTATAACTAGACCGCGGATGTTTATGCAAATGCATATTTTTACAGAAAATAGAAAAATGTCAATAATAACGATACAAGGACGAACAAGGACCAGAAGTTTTATCAGAAGTTTTATTATTTTTATTTTTTAGCGCGAAATCATGAAGTTACCGTAAAGACGGCAGAAAAGAGGTCATCGAACGGAATTGAAAATATTTGACTGACTCGAATGGAAATATTCGACTGAAGTTTTGCAAGTTGATCTCTCGTTTCGCATTGAAATAACGATATTACTTTTTCTGCCAACCCAATAATAGCAGCACTCACCTGAAAGACGGTCAAGAGGCTCTGCCAGAAGCTGTCGAAATTGTGACGAGGCTTGTCCTGCAGCTCGCTGAAGTTGAACTTTCCACCGAACACCTGTGAACAGACGGAGCTTGCCAACTAGAAGAGATCGACAGGTGGGCTAGCAGAATAGAGAGACAACAAGAACGGGACAGAGTGTGTCGTACCTGCATGCCGAGTAGGGCAAAGATCACGATGAAGAGGAAGAGCAGAAGCAACAGCGACGCGATCGATTGGATTGAGTTCAATAGGGACGCCACCAGATTCGACAGCGATCTCCAATACCTGGAAACGGACGTTTAGCAGTGCCGGAAACGTCGATCGGGGGCTGCTATGCCAAGAGTTTGCGATCCACTTTGAAGCGATCGGACACTTACTTGGTCACCTTGAACACCCTGAGCAATCGGACGCAGCGTAGAACGGAAACGCCGAGTGGCGGCATCACGTGCGTGTTCGTCAGGATCATCTCGGTGATCGAGCCGATCACGACGAAACAGTCGAAGCGATTGAACAAGGAGACGAAGTAACCCTGGACATTGGCGCAGCGACGCGCAAACGGGAACGATCGAAAATTAGTTTCTCTGGGACAAGATAGGCTGGAGCCTTGTTGCGTCGCGCCCAAAAGACTCACCTCGCATCCCAGACTGTACATCTTCAGCATCATCTCCATGGAGAACAGCGCGATGAAGAACATGTTCGTGATTTCTGCGCGAAGGAGAGATATGAAAAGGATGCGACAGTGAACGACAGTTTAGATAATGCGAACTCGCGTGTGTTCTAATTGCAATTTAAGTACCTTGAAATTCGTCCAGCCAACGAGGTTGATTGTAGTGCTCGGTCGCCAGGACCCCGGTGTTCAGGAAGACCAGCACTATGATCAGCCAATAGAACACCTGCGACTTCACGGCTTTTCGGCAGGCCCTTCTCATCCTTCTGTTCACTCTTCAAGTTTAAATCGAATTTTTAATTACGGCGATTTTATCGGCTGGCTCGCATCGATACAGTTATTATTCGCGCGCCGATGTAGTATGAAAAATCACTGCACCGTTATAAACTATTTGTGGAAACGTTTGATACGCCGGTATCAGTTGCTTGCGAATTGCAAGAAATAATCTTGTAAAGAGAGGACTTGTAAAGAAAGCGCTCGGTTTTAATTTAAAAAAGGAATGTTGTTAAGAAAATTGGGAAAAAGTAATATTTAAGTAATATAACATAAATAAAGTAATAATATAATAAACATATACTATATATAATAAATATAATAAATATATAATACTATATATATACTATATATTATACTATATATATATATATATATATATATATAAATATATAATATATACTATATATTATACTATATATATATATATATATATATATATAAATATATAATATATACTATATATTATACTATATATATATATATATATATATATATATATATATATAATATATACTATATATTATACTATATATATATAAATATATAATATACAGGGTGTTCCACAATTATTTTAACAGCCGAAAGTGAGGGGTAGCTGAGGTCATTTGAAGTAACTTTTTCCTTTGCGAAAATGCAATCCGCGGCTTTGTTTACGAGTTATTAACGAAAAACACTGGCCAATGAGAGGTGACGGTGCGAGAGAGAGGGTCCGCGAGAGAGTCCGCAGCACGAGGCTTTGACTGAAGGTCGGGACGGACTCGAGCCGCGATCGAAGTATTGAACAAGTCACAAGGCGAGAACTTTACGGATTTTTTTTACTACATAACAGTGATATTTTTAAGAAAAACGCTGTTCACCTTTACTTTAGAACGTCTGAAGAATATT